ACAGTAACTGCTACTAGCACTCCAGAAGAAGTTCAACTTTATGAAAAGTGGGAGCGATCTAGTCGCCTCTCCGTTATGTTTATAAAGACGAAAATATCTGCTGATATTAGGGGCTTCGTCGAGCAGTATGACAAAGTCCAAGATTTGCTTAAGGCCATTGACGAACAATTTGTCACTTCAGATAAAGCGATGGCCAGCACCCTCATTATGCAGTTTTCATCTTTGAAGCTCACTGGCATTAAGGGTGTGCGCGATCATATCATGCGCATGAGAGATATAGCAGCCCAACTCAAGGCGTTGGAAGTTGAGATGTCTGAATCATTCCTAGTTCACTTTATCCTTTGCACTTTGCCTCAACAATATGGCCCATTCAAGATACCCTATAACACACATAAAGATAAATGGTTCATTAATGAGTTGCTGACCGTGTGTGTTCAAGAAGAGGGCAGACTAATTATGGAGGAATGTGAGAAGGAAAAGGTATTTTTGACAACTCCAGGAAAGAAGAAGAAAGATCAGGCTAAGGACAAGGGGAAGGGAAAAATCCATCCTCAAAAGGACATTAAGAAGGATATTGTGTGCTTCTTTTGCAAGAAGAAGGGGCACCTTAAGAAGCAATGCTCCAAGTTCATGAAGTGGCTTGACAAAAAAGGTACTCAACTCTCACTTGTTTGTTATGAATCCAATATGATTGATGTTAATCATAATACATGGTGGATTGATTCTGGTTCTACGATCCATGTGACCAATTCATTGCAGGACTTGCGAAACCTGCGGAAACCAGTGGGAAGTGAGCGTAGCATCTATTCAGGAAATAAGTTGCCCTCACATGTGGAGGCCAGTGGCACGTACATATTGGTTTTAAGTAGTGGTTTCATTTTAAATTTAGAAAAAACCTTTTATATTTCCAGTTTTTCTAGGAATTTGATTTCAATTTCCAGACTTGTATTAGTTGGTTATTCCTTTAACTTTTCAGACTCTGGATTTAATTTATTTTATAAATCTGATGTTATTGGATGTGGTGCTTTGTCTGATGGTCTTTTTCTTATTAATTTGCAAAACGATGACACCCATACTACCATGCACATTCATGAAAATATTGGCACTAAACAATGTGTTGTGAATGAAGAGTCTTCTATGTTGCGGCATCGGAGATTGGGACACATCTCCATTGACAGAATTAAAAGGTTGGTGAATGATGGGGTACTTAGTACTCTAGATTTTACAGACTTTGAGACTTGTATAGACTGCATTAAAGGAAAGCAAACTAATAAGTCGAAAAGGGGTGCCAAGAGAAGCTCTGAATTATTGGAAATCATACACACAGATATTTGTAGTCCAGACATGGAAGCATACCGTGATAAATACTTCATCTCTTTCATAGATGATTACTCACGATACATGTATCTCTACTCGCTTAACAGTAAAAATGAAGCACCAGATGCTTTTAAGGTATTTAAATTTGAAGTAGAAAAACAATGTGGTAAACAAATTAAGATCGTGAGATCCGATAGAGGTGGAGAATACTATGGTATATACACTGAGAGTGGACAAGCGATTGGCCCATTTGCGAGGTTTCTTCGAGAGAATGGGATTGTTGCCCAATACAGTTTGCCTGGTTCTCCGGACCAAAATGGAGTAGCTGAAAAGAGAAATCGAACATTATTGGACATGATGCGAAGCATGCTTGCTAGCTCCAAGCTTCCTCATTCTTTATGGATTGAAGCTCTTAAGATAGCTGCGTACATATTAAATCGAGTTCCAACCAAGGCTGTCCCAAAGACACCTTTTGAGTTATTCAAGGGTTGGAAACCGAGTTTGTGACATGTACGCGTTTGGGGATGCCCGTCTGAAGTGAGAGTCTACAATCCACAAGAAAGGAAGTTGGACCCAAGGACCATAAGTGGGTATTTCGTTGGATATGTCGAAAGGTCTAAAGGATACGATTTTACTGTCCATCTCATAGCACTAGGTTTGTGGAATCAAGAAATGCAAAATTTCTTGTAAATGACTTGATTAGTGGGAGCGATCAATCCCAGGGCATTTGTCTTGAGAAAGATCATTCAGGTGCTCAGTGTACCACTTCAAGTGATGGATTGAGTATTGTTGTTAACAATACACCTCGAGTACAAATGCATAATGAAAGATCGGTCCACGAAGTTCCACAAGCTATTGAGCCTGATCCAGTAGATGCTGAAGTTCAACAGATGCCTGAAGCTATTGAATAGTCTGCTGAACAAAATGATCCTGTTCCTCAGGAGAATATTGATGGAGCATTAAAAAGATCTACTAGAATAAGAAAATCGACGATTCCTAGTGACTATGTTGTGTATCTACAAGAGTCTGACTACAATGTTGGAGTTGAAAATGATCCTGAAACGTTTTCACAAGCCATGAATTGTAAAGAATCAAGTTTATCGTACAATGCCATGAAAGATGAGATGGATTCGATGGCATCTAACAAAGTCTAGGATCTCGTCATGTTGCCTGATGGTGTAAAAGCCATTGGATATAAATGGGTTTTCAAAACAAAGAAAGACTTACTAGGCAACATTGAGAGACATAAAGCAAGACTCGTTGTCAAAGGATTCACTCAAAGGGAAGGAATCGATTACACAGAAACATTCTCTCTTGTATCTAAGAAAGATTCCCTTCGAGTAATTATGACATTGGTTGCCCATTTTGATTTAGACTTGCACCAAATGGATGTGAAAACGGCGTTCCTTAATGGTGATCTAGAGGAAGAGGTTTACATGAAACAGCCTGAAGGATTCTCCTCTAGTGGTGGTGAGCACCTGGTTTGTGAGCTTAATAAATCCATATATGGATTAAAACAAGCTTCCCGTCAATGGTATTTGAAATTCCATGACGTCGTCACTTCGTTTAGTTTTGAAGAGAACGTCATGGATCATTGTATATACCAGAAGGTCAGTGGGAGCAAGATTTATTTTCTTGTTCTATATGTGGATGATATTTTACTTGCAACCAACGATAAGGGTTTGCTACATGAGGTGAAACAATTCCTCTCAAAGAACTTTGATATGAAGGATATGGGTGAGGCATCTTATGTCATTGGCATTAAGATCCATAGAAAAAGATCTCAAGGCATTTTAAGCTTGTTTCAAGAGACCTATATTAACAAAGTTTTAGAGAGATTTTGGATGAAGGACTGTTCAGCTAGTGTAGCACCTATTGTGAAGGGTGATAGGTTTAGCTTAACTCAATGTCCCAAAAATGAGCTCGAGCAGGAACAGATAAAAACATTCCATATGCTTCAGTCATTGGAAGCCTAATGTATGCTCAGGTCTGTACCAGGCCTGACATTGCATTTGCTGTTGGAATGCTAGGAAGATATCAGAGTAATCCAGGCGTGGACCACTGGCGAGCTGCAAAGAAAGTAATAAGATACCTTCAGGGGACCAAAGAATACATGCTTATGTACAGACGGACTGACAATCTGGAAGTGGTTGGCTACTCGGATGCAGACTTTGCTGGCTGTGTTGATTCACGAAAATCAACATCTGGTTACAATTTCATGCTTGCTAGCGGAGCTATATCTTGGAGAAGCGCGAAGCAGACCTTGACTGCTACTTCCACTATGGAGGCCGAGTTCGTGTCTTGTTTTGAGGCTACCTCACATGGTGTATGGTTGAAGAGTTTCATGTCCGAGCTTAGAATAATTGATTCAGTTTCTAGGCCATTGAGATTGTACTGTGACAACTCAGCTGCTGTGTTTATGGCTAAGAACAACAAGAGTGGTAGTCAAAGTAAACACATCGATATTAAATACTTAGCCATTAGAGAACGTGTTAAGGAGAAGAAAGTGGTCATTGAGCATATTAGCACTGAGTTAATGATTGCTGATCCTTTGACTAAAGGCATGCCACCAAAGAATTTTAAGGATCATGTTGTGAGAATGGGACCTGGTTCCATGATGTAATTTTATTGTACGTACATTTGATGTTTTAATGAAACTCTTATTCAGTTGTTGTTTTCTCATTTGTTTTGTGCACATATTTGTATATTCATCTACCTTGAGAAATATCATTAAATTTGGACCTTGAATAAACATAGGGTTTATTCATTAAAGTTATATGGGTTGGTGTTTAAGAGACATGATACACTGTGATACATGGAAGATAATACTCGCTTTAGAGGACCTATCGCTATGATTCATGTATTATGTTTCTTATTATGATGAATGATGGTATATATGGATCAAGTGGAATGTTGGATTATAACCAACTTAAGAGTGGTCCACATATCTCATGTCCCACTATGAAAGCAGTTAACCTAACGTTTAAAAGCATGTTTGGTAACCACCCGTGGACGTGTATAACCGCTCTGTGATGGGAAGAGCATTTTAAAAGGTGTTGAGATCCATTCGGAAGGTCTCTAAACTCATTTTCGCGTTCAGTCTGCATACACCATCTAAGCAGTGACAAAAAGGGTTTAGAAGAGCCTTAACCCGAAGTTAAACACCACCTACAAGTTTGAGAAAGTCTGTTAACAACAACAATGGCGGGAGGTACGTTTTTCGATCCAATTTACTCCGCATTGATCTAAATGCTATTTTGTTGATTAAAGCATGTTTAGATCGTTTAAATAGACTTACATCATAAGCTAAACAAATATTGTTACATTGAAACTGACGTAGTTGTTTTAAAATTTTCATCTGAAAGGTAACATATTGCATTAAATCATTTTTATTTGCGAAAAACGTGCTCTAATTTATTTGAAGTAATGCGATCTACTACGAAACATGCTCTAATTTAAAATAATGTCATGATCAAAAAGAAAATAACTGGATGCAGTGGCAAATAAATAAATAAAAATGTTCAAGTAGCATCCGCCGGCCGAAGAAGACGAAGGATATGGTCAAATAACACATGCTATATTCATATAAAAAAATCGATATGATAATGTCTATATATAAACAAAGTTGGTGTAAATATATTTAAAAGTATAAAAAATTTATGATAACAAAGACAAACTCATTGTGATATTCTTTATAATCGATTCTTGAGAAGATTACCAGTACTACAAGAGCATTGAACATGGATTCTGCCAAGAGCATACCTTCTTTTCAACAAGAAGACGAAATATTACCATTGAATAAAGAAAAACGATATATCGGAGTCCGAAAGAGGCCATGGGGGAAGTATGCAGCAGAGATAAGGGATTCGACGAGGAAGGGAAGGAGGGCTTGGCTTGGAACATTTAACAGCGCAGAAGAGGCTGCATTGGCATATGATCAAGCTGCATTTGCAGTGCGGGGTTCATTGGCTTCCATAAACTTTCCCATTGAAATTGTGAAGGAATCACTAGTAAAGATTAATTACAGGTGCAGAATTGGTTCATCCCCAATAGAAACCCTAAAAGAGTCGCACAAACGCAGGGGTGAATTCAGAAAGAAAAAAGCAAAGGAAGAAGATGAAGTACTGGTGTTCGAGGACTTGGGGCCTGATCTATTAGATGAGCTACTGTCTCAGAGTTAAGTGTTGCGTGATTTTTAATCTCAATTTTATGATATCTTTTAATATGTAATAAAGACGACATAAGATTCTAAATTCTTATTTGAGCAAAAAACTAAAAAGTGATTTTAATCTTTATCCTAAAAAACTATAATTTATGGAACATTTAAAAATCCGTAAGTCGACAACTTAAGTTTCAATTGATGTATGTTTAAGTGTTAAGATTTATGACGAGTTCACCTTAGGTATCCATTAGCCCATGTTTGGTATGAATTAAAATTTAGATTTTAATTTAGGTCAACAGTTAATTTTAATTACATATTTTATATGGTCCACAACTTTTTCACCACACATTCCATCAATTTTTATCAAAATTTAGTAAAATAATCTGATTTTAACATTCACGGAAGAGGAGCTTAGTGTCAATTGCTAAATTCCTACGACAATCAATTATGTGTACCACATTGAATTCTTTGAAATTAATTAATTTACTTTTCTCGAGTTGAAACTAATGCTACTAAATTAAGTTCCTCTCTATATCTCCACATGAACCAAAAAAAAAAGAAAAAAGAAAAAAAAAAAGAAAGGTCTTAATAAGAGTATTCAATCATCAAAAGATTCAATTAAAGATAAAAAAATTAGTATAATTGAAAATCTACTTTTTACTGATCAAATTTTGATTTTTTACTAGTGATCTTAACAAATAACTTACATCTCGATGTGTTAATGTTCACAAATCTGATAAAGTAATTACAAGTCATAAATATTACAAGTAAAACCAATCTATAAATATTTGAAGATAATACCGTAATAAATAAAATAAAGACTCAAAAATAAGTTTATATAATTGCTCGTCCCAACTATTAATTTATTACTCGTCATGGGAGAAAAAAATTCAATAATGATTTGGAGTACACAAAAGAGGATGAAAAGAAGAATGAGGAAAAAATGAAGATCTTTAATCAAGAATTTACATTCTTCTTTGAAAAGTCTTGAAACCCTAGCTTTCTTTTTCTTATCCTTTTAAATTTCTCCCTTTTTTCCTCAATAATTTTAGGATAGGACAATACAACCTACGAGCCCCTCCTTTGTGAGGGAGTTGTAACCGGAGCTGTGCATACAACACGGTTTGCAATTTTATGTTTTAGAACCATTGTCCTCCCTTATTTGACATAAACTGAGGTCATTATAGAGTAGGATACGTGTCTTGGGAATTGTGCCGTGGGCCCCTTACGCTTGGTCAGAAGGCGATCAAAATTCTTCCTTCACATTTGTGGAATACTTACAAACATGGTTTACAAAGTAGGTTGACAAAATAATATTAACACAAATTATTTCAAAAATAGGTTTTTAAATCATTTGAAATCAATGGTCTGAATTTTGTCAACACATCTTTTGTCATCCAACTTTGTAAGGAAATTTTGTATAAGTAGAATTATTGAACATGTTATTGGAATATAATTTTTTTTTTTTTTCAACAAACGTCTCTAAATTTTTCCACTCAAATTTGCACCAACCAAAGTATGAAAATTCTTGCCTTCTTCTGAAAAGTCAGCACTCAACAGATATATTTTGATTGAATTGAGAAATCTATGGTTTAATAAAGGTGCTGTATAACTCATGACATCCACAATTATTTACTGGTTTTTGTTTATCATTTGTTTTTCTGGATTTGAAGGCTGCAAAGTAGTCAGCCCTAACAACCAGTGGCAGTGGAATGAGAGACTTTTTTTGGTAAAAAATCCTATCCCCGATTTTATTTATTGGGCTCTTGTTTGAGCCACATTATATTTCTAAAAATGCATTTTTGAATAGTGCATTATTGAAAAATATGTGGTTAAAAAATAAAGAAAAATTTTAGATTTGTGTATAATATTATTTTATTGAAGAATGTGTGATTGAAATGATGTCAAATCACTGCTTAAAAATATATATTTTTTATTTTTTTTTCTAAATGTGGCTCAAACATAGTCCGGCTATATTTCTTGTATCCATGCCTCTCCAACATTTTCGCTCAATTGGCACTTGGCACAAATAAAAGTATTCATGTCGGTTTTCCAGTATATAGACATCATTGTCAAGTAATATTTATGGCTATTAACCCATCTAATAGACTCTCAATTGAGAGTCATGCTTCTTGCAAAATTATGATAAAAGAATGCTTCTAGAACAAGCCTACTTCGCACCATTACTGACATTTCGATTTTCTTGAATGTATTAGTTTGTGTATAGAATATTTTATTATGTGAATATGTGATGGAGAATAATGCTATAGAAAAACAAATTTAAAATTTTAAAGGTATCAAACAGGCACTAAAATGACGTGACTTAAGTTGATTATATTTAGTATGCCAGCATCATCAGTATGCCTCAGAATAAACCATACATCACGCACATGGTGTTGGTATACAATCATATGAACTTTTCTAAATCTTACTTCCTATTCTAAATGTTAATTGGTTATTTCTTGAAAATTGATTGTTGAATTCCTTCACTTTGCAACATATGGGATATTTTTTAATTCAGAATAGTTTGATATTTATGCTAGTGGGTGTAATCAAGAAAATAATTATTGAGAAACTCAAAAAATCCAAGTATATTTTTATTATATTTGATTGCACTCTAGATCTGAGTCACGAAGAACAAATGTCTATGGTATTAAGGTGTATAGATATTTTAGAACGTCCAATGAAGATAGAAGAATTCTTCTTGAGATTTTTACTGGTGGATGATACATCTGGGAAAGGTTTTTTGATGAATTGGTGGAGAGTTGAATAATCTAGAAGTTGATATTGGTGATGTGAGGGGATCAAAGCTATGATAACAGTGCAAACATGAAAGGAAAACATAAAAGGGTGCATAGTTACTACTAAAAATAAATCATAGAGCATTCTACTCTCCTTGTGTGTATCATAGTCTTAAATCATGCACTTTGGGATATGGTCACTTGTTGTTTAAAAGCTAAAATCTTTCTTTGAAGTGGTGCAACATATAAACACTTTATTTTCATAATCTACAAAATGGTGAAAAACTTTCAAAGATAAGTAAATGGCCTTACCCATGAACTTTTATCACAAACACGTTGGGGAAAGTTATGTTGAAAGTGAAAAGATTCCAAGCTACATGAATGAAAAATGCTCTGATTCAATTGGCAAGAGTCGATGATCTTAAGACAAAAGGTGAGACAATGTTTGATAACATATGAAATTGAGAATTTTTAATTCTTACTTGGAATGGTTATTTGTTATGACCCGTTGAATAATGTTTACGGAATAAGCAAAGGGGGGAATATGTATATTGGCATTGCTATAGACCATTTGAAATGGTTGATATATTTTTCAAATGCCATAGAAAAATTAAGAAATGGCCATGGTTGATGCTAAAGAGATAGCAAGTGAAATAGACATAGAATTGATATTTCGTGAAAAATGAGTTATACATAGAAAGAGGTAGTTTGGTGAGACTTCTTGTGAAGAGATGATAGAAACAATTGAAGAATCTTTTAACGTCAATTATTTCCTATATATAGTAGATCAAACTCTATCATTGCTTCCAAAAGATTTGAACAATTTTAGAAATATGATTACATACGCCGAGGCAGTTAAGGACCAAAGCGTCTGCACTGAAATTTTGGGCCTCGCCCAATCTCTTTCAAATTTTTCTTTTTAGTTGTAGCCTATTGGTCTTTTCACTTAACTAGAAAAAAAAAAAAAAAGGTTGAAACAAATTTTGACTCAAAACCAATTATTGAAATCTAAATGCTAAAATTGAAAATCGCCGAATTCCTAAGTCCAATCTGTGATTTTCTCTCAGCCTCTCAAGTCTGATTCTTCGACTCTCCGCTCTTATCCTTGGGTCTCTCGCGACCTCACCCAACTACACACCTCCTAACTACACACCTCAATGGCCGATGCCTTCCATCGACAGAAAAAGAAGATAAAGAAGGAAGGTCCTTCGTTCATTCGTTTCTCGGCCTCTCATCTAGTAAGTGCCAAGTGATACGGTCCCTAGTACTATATATATTTTTATGGAAAATATACCCTGCCTTTCAGTACTTATTTTCTGAATGTTATTATGTCTATTTGAGTAGAGATTTAATAATGTGTGTTTGACATTGAGTAGAGTTGTCATTATGTGTGTATGATTTTGCTTTTAATTGAGTATTGCGTCCCAAATGTTTGTTAATGTTATTATGTGTTTTTGAGTAATGTGGATGTATGGGTATTGATTTGGGCTCATCTTGAAAGTGCACACTAGATAGAATTTGCTTGATTTTACTTGATAGGCTGATTTGGGCTTAACTTGATTTTGCTTTCAATTGATTTGGTTCGGGCTTAATGGATTTGGGGATACATTTTTATTTCTATTAACTTGATTTTGCTTTTAATTAAGGGAAGACCACATAACTCATAGTTTTAAAGATTACATTTCATAAATAACAAACTCAATTAAATATTTCAAAAATCAGGTGATAAATAAATTTATTAAATATTAAATTATAATATAATATCCATTAATTATTTTCATACATGTCATCCACCTCATCCTATCACCCCATTACACCACCTTTCCTCCACCCCTCCACCAGAGATGGCTATCATCTCCGACAACCACTCCGGCAACGGTTCCGACAACCACTCCGGTGGATGCTTCGACAACTATTCCGGCGATCACCCCAATAAACTACTCCGACGATCACTCCAGCAAACTGCTCCAATGACCACTCCGACGCATACTCTAGTAACTATTCCAAGCACTACTTCGGCTCGCCAATAAAAAAATCTCCAAAATTTGAAAACAATTTCTCTCTCTACACCCCACTATTGAAAAATCTCCAAAAAAAACTGTGGTGGTCGTAATGGTGCGTTGTAAGTGATCAGATTTGCACATGTGATATCTGTAACCATACCTGTGTCATATGTGACTATTTGTGACCAAATTTGTATTTAGTTTGACTATATGTGACTATGCCAATCTCAAGTCACAACTGGTCACGATCAATACAAAATTGTTCACAAATAGTCACAATAAACACATACTTGGTTGTATAGGATCACCACAAACAAATCTGCACACACTACATACATGTGATTA